AGGGTTGTGTTGATCTCCTAATTATAGTATTCTCTAATGGATTTTGTTGGTCCTCTGAGTGAACAGAGTCCGGTGGTGCAGCTTTTATAGTTGATTACCCCTACAATGTACAATGTAATTGGCGTCAGGGCATTTCTGGTATATTTAATTTACGTTATTTTTACTGTAATTTACGTTATGAAAGTTTTGCTTCAGTAAGTCCCCAATGAGATTTATGCGTGAATTATTGCTTCAAATTAAAAGAAGTACACATTGTCTGTAAAATCAATTATTTTATCTTCTTTTACTCCATATATGCTTTTTAATTTCTTCTTTTGACTTTACCATCTCTGTTAAACGAAGTTAATATGAAATATAATAACAGAGAAGGACATTTCAGGTATATTTAATTTACGTTATTTTTACTGTAATTTACGTTATGAAAGTTTTGCTTCAGTGAGTCTCCAATGAACAGAGATTTATGCGTAAATTATTGCTTCAAATTAAAAGAAGTACACATTGTCTGTAAAATCAATTAAAGTTCACGCCAAAAATGCATTCTTGACGAATCAATAAAGTAATATTTGAATGTTATTGAAGGTAACATGTAATTTACGTTATCTGATGGTGCTTCCTACATCAGATCTACATCGGAAGTTCGGTGATGATAAGATGCTTTTGACAGAAAACCAATAACGTTTCCTGCATGGTTCCGCATTGTTTCGACGTCTTATTTGCAAGATATGTAGCATGTATATTTTCTACTGACAACGTACATTACATAACGTAAATTACTTTTGATCAGTTTCATTGGTGTAAAATGTGTACTCGCACAGATCAATGCTCGTTTTGATGTTTTACGTGTTTGGTACATCAGGAAGAATAAATAATTTGATATGCAAAGACACTTATACTCGTATTCTTGAAGTATCGTTGATAACGTAAAATACATCCTTAAAACGAACCACTCACCTCTGGTTACAAGATCAATGTGTTTTTGGAAATATTTTCTTATATAACTTTTCTTTGATTCTGATAGCATTTTATGGATTTTGTTGGATATTCTAATAGATATTTTAAGTTTTATATACCCTTTTATGCTATTTAAACAAATGATAATATTTTGATAACGTAAATTACAAAAATTTTGCGACATAGGTATTTTACATTTTTTTTAATTTCACTGTAGACAAATATTTTAAAGTGTGAAAATTCAGTATATTTACGCATTGTTAAATGTAAAAGTCATCACTTTTAACATAAAATATAATTGCTGTATTTTATTCAACGGTCCAAACATTGACCTTTGCCTGAGCGACAGACTGAAAAGCCACTTTTTAGACTATATACTTGGATCCCAGGGAGGTTTAACCTGTGTATTAACAATTAACTGTGTTGGTTTGGTAACTACAGACGTATCACAAACAAAATACGTTAAAATCTATCAGTTATTTTAATTATAATGTAATTTAAAGTGCTCACGACATCCAATGGTGCATATGGACGGATTATGTGAGGAGAATTAAATTTCAGCAACGATAACGTTGTTATGATGTATTCGTGCGCTCTATTTTTGATGCGTAAAATTAATAGAAAAGTGAAAGAAAGTTTAATTTTATTAATTTAAAATCATAATTAAATGATTAGAAATGAATGTAATATTTTTTCCTTTGATCGTTGTATCAAAGAAAAAATTTGGACGGAAAACTTAGAAAACATCGATCAAAGGAAAAAATATTACATTCATTTCTTAAGTCATGGCATTATTACAGTCTCGGTATATCATGAAATCATTACAGTCTCGGTATATCATGGAATTATTACAGTGTAAGTTTGTCATGGAATTATTACAGTCCCAGTATGTCATGGAATTATAACAGACTTAGTTTTTCATGGAACTATTCGGTGGCGGATTTAAGGGGGGGCGCACCCAGCGCCCCCCCCCCCCTTAAATTGTCAAAGTTAACGCAAATCACAGTTTCGTCCAGAAAATGTAAATATGTCTACTTGGTAGACCTCATTTTTACTCTACAAAATCTCTAGAACCCAGGAGATTCTGGGGGCTTCGTCCCCTGGGCTCCCACCAGGGCTTTGCCCTGGACCCACTGGGAGCCTCAAGGCGGCCCCCAGACCCCTTGCCTACTTTTGGCGCCCCCTCTAACTTCAATTCCTGGATCCACGCCTGCTATTAGTCTTAGTATGTCATGGAATTATTACAGTCTAAGTATGCCATGGAATTATTACAGTTTCAGTATGTCTTGGAATTATTACAGACTCAGTATGTCACGGAACTATTACAGTCTTAGTATGTAATGGAATTATTGCAGACTCAGTTTTTCATGGAAATATTACAAACTCAGTAGGTAATGAAATTATTAGTCTTATTATCTCATGGAATTGTAACAGTCTAAGTTTGTCATGGAATTATTACAGTCCCAGTGTGTCATGGAATTATAACAGACACAGTTTTTCATGGAATTATTAGTCTTAGTATGTCATGGAATTATTACAGTCTCAGTGTGTCATGAAATCATAGCAGACTCATTATGTCACGGAATTATTACAGACTCAGTACGTCATGGAATTATTACAGCCTCAGTATGTCATGGAATTATTACTGTTTCATTATGTCATGGAATAATTAGTCTAAGTTTGTCATGCAAGGAATTATTACAGTCTCAGTATGTCATGGAACATTAAAAGTCTTAGTATGTAATGAAATTATTACAGTCATCAGTATATCATGGAATTATTACAGTCTCAGTATATCATGGAATTATTACAGTCTCAGTATGTCAAGGAATTATTACAGTTTCATTATGTCATGTAATTATTACAGTTTCAGTATGTCATTGAACTATTTCAGTTTCAGTATGACATGGAATTATTTCAGTTTCAGTATGTCACAGAATTAATACATTCTCATTATATCATGGAATTTTTACAGTCTTAGTTTGTCATAGAATTATTACAGTCTCAGTAGGTTGAGTTCACCATGCATCGGACACATACCTTGCTTCGGACAACTTTAGGCAATTAATTCTCTTTCAACTTTAGAGTTCCGTGTTTTTATTTGTTTCTGTCTTAAAGATGAAAATTTTAATTTTTTAATGATACCAATTGTTATCATGCTGTGATAAAAATACCCCGAGAATGGCCTTGAATTTACGTCATATTTTACATCATCAAAAGGGAATACCAAGACATTTATTATTTTTCAATTTTAGAGTAATCGTTCTTTAAATTCGACTTCAACGGAACGAGTCAGACTTTGGTAAATTTTGTCAAAGATTGGCAATTTTACATAAATTTTAAAGAAATTTCTCTTCATGTCTGTATATTTTTTTCTAGAGCTGCTTTTTACAAGTATGTTCATTTCTCCGTACATCGGACACAAATTAACCATGCATCGGACATTTTCCGATGTAAAGGTTAGCACTACCATTTTTATATGGAACCCAACTGACAGCTGTTTTTTGCGAAAATGGAAAATAAGAACTCTATATTTTCAAATTATCGATATGTGACGTCTAGAATTTGACTCAATTTATATCTACAAACCAGAGTATCATAAAGCATGATAAAATGGCGCAAATTACCGCATTACAAGCATTTTAAAGCATTTCTAAGGCAGAGTGAGGTTTCTCGAATCGTTCCATATTTTTGCAACGATATCGTCAATTAAATTTAAGTTGAAGATTATTTTTTAGATAAAAAATAAAAATATATCCATATCAAGGACTTCAAAGCACTGTGATAAAGGTATGGTATTTTTTTCGGGTCAAATACCGTCTGGCCGATGCATGGTTAATAATATCCGATCCATGGTGAATTCTGAGTTATTTTTCAAAAATCGATTTTTGAGGATATTTTCTCAATAAAAGGCATATAATTTTGTCCAAATTTATATTTTATTCACATACTAAATGTTAAACTCCATTTTGATAATTTTCCGTCGATAGCGATATCACTAGAACTTGTTGAAATATAAGGGTGTCCGATGCATGGTGAATTCACCCTATGTCATGGAATTTTTACGGTCTTAGTTTGTCATAGAATTATTAAAGTCTCATTATATTGAGCGCACTTTTTTGTGCGCAATAAATATAGTTTTTTCAATGGGTGGCACTGTAGCTCTCCGGTCTATCAATATATTTTTTCGGAGAGCTACAGATCTGCAGCTTAAAATAGGATCGGACAGCAGGTACTGCCTATATAAGTCCTCTCCATAATACAAAGATCAAAGTCATACATGTACAAGTGAATATTAGCTACATAAGTTACATAACATTGAAAAATATATTATTGCATATATTCAATAAAAATGTATATTAAAAAGGGCAAATTAAGAAGGAAAAAAATATTAGCTGATGATATAATTTAAATTTGTATTCTAACATATATGACTGGCAATTATATTAATAAGTGTATAAATATGAAACATTAAGAAGAAAACATAAATAGATTTGGTACTGTAATTTGACAATTGAAAAACAAAAGCAGAAAAAATATCATGCAAATCTATTTGTAATTGCAATAAATTCTTGAATAAGTTTAAATATTGCAATATTTTGGTTCTAAGTAAGATTATTGGCTCCATTTAAAATAAGTTGTGAAGATAAAAGCATTGGTAACTGCAAAGCATTAAAGTTTTGTATAAGGTTCTGTCTTTGCATACAGTATTTTGGACATTTCACAAAAAAGTGATATGGTGTTTCTGAACTAAATCCCCACGTCACAACTTTTACCTTCCTTTAAAAAAAAGATTAAATAAGTCAGAATTTAAATTACTAGCATTACTTCGCAATTGACTATGCAATATATTCATTTTACGACTTCCATAATTGTAGTATTTCTTAAGTTTTATGCAGTATTTATTCTTTATGGCAGTCTTGAATGATGAAAGTGAAGAAAGGTTTCGACGAATATTAAATGGTAAATCATTCCAAAGTCTTATAGTTGAAGGGAGAAAACTGTTTTAACTATTAAAAAAGAAAACAAAAAATAAGTGGTACATACTTACACAAAATCTATTCATACAAAAGATCATGTTAAATATAAACATTATTTCTTTCAGAATCTTCCATTCTCACATGACCAATCCACTTGAGGCGGAGCCATTCGAGTCTACAAAAAAAAAAGACAAGAATATATTATGAAATTTATATTTTACACAATTCAAAATGGCCTACATAAATAAATGAAAATAATCAACATAATCACTAGTTGTACAAAGTGTTATTCTGCTGAGAGTATACACATGCCTTTAAAAGCTACGTAAATGATATGACAGTAAAACCTGGAACTTTGAAACCCCTTTATGATGTATACATTTAAAGCACTGTGTACCCTGGTTTTTTAAGTGTGTAGGCCTAGCATATTTTGTTGTTATCAAATCAATACTAGTATATTACAACAGTAATGTTCGAGATAAAAGTTATAGAAGTGTTTAATTGTGTATTCGATTAACAGTTTCTTTAATCTAACAAACAGCAGCATCTAGTTTAAAGTAGTTTCCTGACTAGAAAAATAATTGAATCAAATAATAATGGTAATAGAAATATTTCCCCACTAATGAAACTTTTGTTTTAAACGCCATTTATATGATAAACATTATTCTAAGGTACAAACTGGAACTGATCGGAATCGAATTCAGGGGGGAAAAAAACCCACCCGAATTAATTGTTCCTCAGTTTGTGGGTCATTTCGGTTACCTGCAACAGCCCTTATTAGCTCATCTGAGCCGAAGGCTCAAGTGAGCTTTTCTGATCACATTTTGTCCGTCGCCCGTCCGTCTGTCTGTAAACTTTTCACATTTTCGACTTCTTCTCAAGAACCACTGGGCCAATTTTGACCAAACTTGGTACAAAGCATCCTTGGGTAAAGGGGAATTAAAATTGTGAAAATGAAGGGCCAAGTCCCCTCACAAGGGGAGACAATCAAGAAAACAAAAATAGGGTGGGGTCATTAAAAAATTTTTTTTCTCAAGAACCACTGGGCAAGAAAAGCTGAAACTTACGTGGAAGCATCCTGGAGTAGTGTAGATTCTAAATTGTTCAAATCATGACCCCCAGGGCTAGGGCGGGGCCACAATGGGGAATCAAAATTTTACAAAGAAATATATAGGAAAAATTTTTAAAAATCTTATTCTCAAGAACCACTGGGCCAGAAAAGCTGTAACTTATGTGGAAGCATCCTTAGGTAGTGCAGATTCTAAATTGTTAAAATCATGACCCCAGGGGATAGGGCAGGGCCACAATGGGGAATCAAAGTTTTACATAGAAATATATAGGAAAAACCTTTAAAAATCTTCTTCTCAAGAACCACTGGGCCAGAAAAGCTGAAACTTATACGGAAGCAACCTTGGGTAGTGTAGATTCTAAATTGTTCAAATCATGACCCCCGGGGGTTGGGCGGGGCCACAATGAGGAATCAAAGTTTTACATAGATATATATAGGAAAAAAATTTGAAAATCTTCTTCTCAGGAACCACTGGACCAGATAAGCTGAAACTTATGTGGAAGCAACCCAGGGTAGTGTAGATTCTAAATTGTTAAAGTCATGACCCCCGGGTAAAGGGCGGGGCCACAATGGGGAATCAAAGTTTTACATAGAAATATATAGGAAAAATCTTTTAAAATCTTCTTCTCAAGAACCACTGAGCCAGAAAAGCTGAAACTTATGTGGAAGCATCCCGGGGTAGTGTAGATTCTAAATTGTTCTAATCATGACCCCCAGGGGTAGGACGGGGCCACAATGGGGAATCAAAGTTTTACAATGTTGAATCAAAGCATCCTATGGTAGTATAGATTTCAAATCGTTTAAATTATGATCAGTTGGGTTAGGTGGGGTCACAATATGTATTACAAGGGGAAAATCTGGTAAAAAAACAGAATGTTCAAAGCTTCTCAGGTGAGCGATGTGGCCCATGGGCCTCTTGTAATTATCTATCTCTGATATTTATAAAATTGTAAAAGTTTACAAGTAATGACACTTTTTAAATGGAAACAAAAACCTACAGGTCTTGAAGTCTAATTTCTTCAGTAAACCTTACTATCAAAATGACTTTTCCTCATTTAATTATTAATATCCAATCTGATATAAGAATAAGATGTGTCTCATCTTTTAAATTTGACCACCTTTTGCAGAAAAAACAATACTAGTAATACAGTGTATATATGTACATACTCATAGGCTAGCTCTCATTAAAAAAGAGAGACAATTTTTTGGTGAACTTCAACATGTATTCAACATGTTCAATACTTTCAAATGAACTTGTGAATTCCAATTTCCATCAATGTCTGTACTGTACCTTCACATTATTTACTTTTATATGATTATAGTACCTGTAAGATATTCATGCCTCTGTATATGTCTGTAAATACGGATTACAGTGTCTCGCCATGACCCGACCCAGAGAAGATGTGATTTGTGATCATAGCTTATGGTGTATGGATCCTTTAATCCTTGTTCTTCTGTCAGCAGCACTGCCAGGAACTTACCGTCCTTGTCAATCATCTGTATGCTCCTGCTGTATGATTCACAAAATAGGATGTGGGACAGGGCATCTGTACAAATTCCATATGGTCTAAACACCGATGTGGTTGGATTTCCTGTGTAGGAGAAGCGATGTTTTCCAATAGAGTCTGTCACCACAACAACACCTAAACCAGAGTCATCTTTATTCAAATCAGAAACAATCACATCTCCATTTAGGTTTTCTGTGATGTATCTGGGATTATCGTACAATTCCTGATCTTGGTTATGTCGGAGTTTATGTCCTTAATTGTTGTACCGTCCTACCTTGGCTTTATTTGTATCCTGTCTCATCATCCCAATAAGAAAATCTCCATTTAAGGGAGAGCAGTAGAGACAGTTTGGTTTCCAAGGTTCTGCTATCATCCTTAATGTAGACTTTTTATCATTGTTCAACGAGAGTTTGTGTATTTTGTAATAGGTATCTATGTATACAAGATTGCCTTCTCTAGTCACTGTGTGTACACCATCCTTGAGTATGTCGATATATTTAATGTCAAGATAATATAAACTTTCACCCGATGTATCTGTCAAGCTTAAATCGTTCCAACTGCTGACCCAAGCAGTGTCTGGTGTTACACAGGAAATATGACCAATAAAATTAGACATAAACGACTTACTTTTTACCGTGAAAGTTTTCTGTAATATTGGTGGAGACATCACTTTAAATATCTGATCATTTCTTACATCTCTTTTTCTGGTCTCTGTAATTTGGATACCTCCCAGGCCATTAAAAACATCATCTGTGTTGATTTCCTTACCCAGAGATTGGCCTATTTTTATTGATGTACTGAGAGTGTCATTGATATTGAAAACATTGGTTTTCTTAAAGAATAAAAGAAACTGTATCGCTCTGTTTGCTAACACTTCAGATCTGTGTACACGTTGTTGTATGGATCTGATGTGTCTCCTTTTTTCTTTCTGTTCAGAGTTGAAGTAACATTTTAGTTTTGCCCTGAAGTCCTCCATGACATCTTCCAGTATTATATCTATCTGATCTTTCAGTCTTTCAGCTTTGATTTTCATATTTTTCTGGAGTTTGGAGATTTCTGTTTGACATGATCTGAAATCAGAATTTATTCCTGACTGAATACCAAGATTATGCAGCATGGTTTCACTTTTAACAAGAACAATTCTTTGCTGGTATTGTTTTTGATGAATTTTATACACCAATTTTATATCCTGGGGTACATGACTTCTGTGCTCTACACAGTAAGAACAAATAGGAAGCTTACATAAAAGGCACCACATTTCACAGGTCATGTTTGGGTGTCTCTCACAAGTCTCTAGTAACATAATGTCTCCATACTTTAAGCGATCAATCACAACATCGTGGTGTTTAGTGTCAAAGTCTATCACATGTTCCTCCTTACATGGTACACATAAATCTTGTTTACATGTCCTGCAGTAGTATTCTGCCTTCCCCCCACACTGAGAACATTCTGGTGGTTTTAACTGTGTTGGGGGTGTTTTACTCATAATGCTGTCGTGATAATAAGTCTATCACTTTTTATTGTTGTTTTAAAAATTTTCTTCCATTTATACTTTTTTCCGTACGTGGAGCAACCTACAAAGAAATAGGAAATGTCAGGAATGTTGGTGAATATTTATTTAATATTTTTTTTTATTTTTCTAATCACAACTCTTCATGCATATAGTGCAAAATCATTTATCATTGAGCCATTAATATTGCTAAAAATTTCATTGTAGTTCTGCATTTTTTTTTTACTTAAGGTCAAGATCTAATAAATGACAGGTGCCTACAGATTTATCAAATTTGAGAAATAAATTCCTTTATTGTTGCTTTACAACTTTAGCTTGGTCAGATAAGGTGTTTCGGGGCATAATTTGTAGGTAAACAAGATGAAAAACTGTATTTTAAATTGTCATTTTCAATGAAAAATTAAGAAAACCAGTCATGAATATGGGAGTTTTTTTCATATTCGACAAAGAAAATGTATCCAGATTGCCTACAGTCTCATAGAAAACGGTAATTAGTATGTTCATGGCCTCTTCTTTAAACTAATATCAAATTTAATATAGGTATCCGGTATACTTTTCATATGATTTCAAATTGAATGTCATGAAATACCCTATGTTCTACATAATTCTGCTAAAGCCGTAAAGTACGGGAAAAAGAAAGTTGAAATTGATTATGATGTCATAATGGATCTAGCACCAAAAATTTAGTCTAAAGTTATTTACTATATCTTGACCTTAAACATCCCGCTCTAAGCTGCTATCCCACATTGATTCTCAGTATAATCATTACCTCTGAAATGATAACTTTCCCACTGGTTATGTATATGTCTGTATCATTATCAAGATTTCTGTTATTACATCTCCTCTTCTAAAAAATCAATTGATACATCATTACATGTACAAAAGAGTTAATAACTATCATGTAACTCAAATCTAAATTCTTCCTAAATAATAGTTAAACAATATTTTTAAAAATCATTAAAAAAAATCAATAAAAGCAACCCCTTACCACTGTAGTACCCTGGTACAGTCCATGTACCTACATGAACTGCAGCCACATTGCATCGTTTTTGAAAGGCCAGAGAATTTTTTTTTTTTCTGACTTACCTGAAAAAGTTGACAAGCAAACAAAAAAAAGGAGAACCTGCCCGAACTCGAAAATGCTAATTCGGGGGGGGGGGGGCAACTTTTTTTCAAAGCCAGCTACTTTCAATACCAATTTTTTGGTATTCAATACTACATTTCCCTATATCACTTACCTGTAGTATGTAGTGGGGGGGGGGGGTGAGGCCAACTTTTTTTCAAAGCCAACTTCTTTCAGTACCAATTTTTTGGTGTCCAATACTACATTTCCCTATATCACTTACCTGTAGTATGTAGTGGGGGTGGGGGCAACTAGCCTTTCAATGAACATTTCCAATATTAAAAGTAATGTTGGGAAAAAAAGTGGTGGGGTGGCAGCCCCCCGTTGCTACGTGCCTGAACTGTAGTATTTTAAACGATTGGTTGTACATGTGTAAAGTTCACGATCATAGACTTGTAAACAATATAAAAGACATTACATAAACACATACTGACACACTCTCCCTCTTTTTGTTTACAATGTTTATTTTTGGGAGAATAACGAGCCCGATTAGAATTCTTACGTTAAAATGGGAAACAATGTCTTTTAAAATAAAGGTACCAAGGGCTAGAGTTGGGACATAATAAGAAGTGATATTTTATAAACAGAAGGGTAATCGTATATTAGGAAAATATCTTCTATTCAAGTCTTCGGGATAATATTCAATTTGCTAAATGTATATCTCATTTGTTTGCCGGGAAGTTCATTTCATTTAAACCGTTTTGTGTTTTTCATCCCTTCGCCAAGGCTCGAGGATAAAAAGTTTTCTAAAAAAAAAAAACCACACACACAACTCGTTAGTACGATGGCCGATATCAGCCTGTCTAAAATAAAATTACACGACCTATAATTTTGTCATTTGTACATGTGCATTTCTTGAAATTTGTACATGTACAAAATAAAAAAAAAGTTCTTTCGCGAAAAGACAAAATGTACATGTACAATTCTTAAAAGTTGACAAAAAAATCTATAGCGGTATAATTAGCATCTACTTGACGTTTGATAACCTGAACAAAATAAATAAAAGATAATGGTTCCTTCATAATGAACACGTGGGAAATATCAATTAAAGTATGTTTCTGAACTTTTATTTGTTACTTTTTCAAAGAAAGTGGCTCCCATCAGTCACGTACCTCAAATCACTTGACTCTACACTAATCTAGTGTTTCGGCGGTTTGATATATACGAGGTTCATGATTTTTATAGCATATTAATTAGCTGCAAATCCGCCATCATCAGCAGCCTATTTTCACATTTGTTATTCAGGTTACGAAATTAGCAAGGAGAAAAGCATATCACTCAGGTTTATATTGGGTTGAATAACACAATAGTTTATTCTGGGAGGATTGTATTGCATATCTTTTATTTCTAATAATATAAAAGTATTTTATTAACTCATACCTCAGTTTCATTGGTAATTTTATGTTAGCGAATGTCGCATACAGAATGGGGTCCTTGACTAAGAACCATCGCATCCTCAATTATTTGTTTGTAATATTTGCATGGAATTCAAATATATTACTTTCCGAATTTAGCCACTTTCTTTGAAAAAGTAACAAATAAAAGTTCAGAAACATACTTTAATTGATATTTCCCACGTGTTCATTACGAAGGAACCATTATCTTTTATTTATTGCGTTCAGGTTATCAAACGTCAAGTAGATAGATTTTTTTGTCAACTATTAAGAATTGTACATGTACATTTTGTCTTTGTACAAAAGACAAAATTATAGGCCATATTAACTCTTTTAATTTTGTACATGTACAAATATCAAGAAATGTACATGTACAAAAGACAAAATTATAGGTCGTGTAATTTTATTTTAGACAGGCTGATATCGGCCATCGTACGTTAGATACAAATCATATTCAACCACAAATCATGAGAGATCTAAGCTATGTTTACTTACTAAAAAATTCCGACATATATTTTTTATTTGATAGATAAAAGGCATCGAGATAAACCCAAGGCTAGACTGAGAAAAAAATATCCTCATCAAGGTATAAATAAGTGGCCATAATTCTAACATACTAGGTCCTGTTTTGAAATATATATTGATATTTTTGTATTTTTCATTAAATAAACTCAACCAGGAAAGATTTCATATTTTGATATTCTTTCTTCTACTTAGTGCAACAGTTGTATTTATAAGCTAAATAAAAATTTTACAAAGAATTGTTTCTACAGTGTATAAAAACCACACTCTGACATGTGGCAAACTACCAGTGCTAAGAGGCGTTTACCTTACGCAACTTTTTGTCTTCTTGAGGGAAAAAAATGGACAAAACAAAGGTGTAATTATTGTTAATAAAGCTGCGAGAGTAACTTTTTAATTAAGGAGGTTTTACAATCTTTAGTATTTTTTTTAATCATTTTAGTATCAACGACTTTTCATACACAGTATCGGAGTACCAAGTCATACTGTGGGAGAAATTTCACTGGGTTATCTTTCTTCCCATAATTAATAGAAAGCCGACATTTAAAGCTGAGGTAGTGTTTGGGATGAATAAATATGCGTAGACGTTGTCCCTATTTGCTTTTTTTTTTCTTTTTTAGGGCGTTGGCCTAGTATGTACTTTGTCTACCATGATGCCCGTATTTCAATGCACAATGATTCTTTGTCAGCAGACTTATTCTTAGAGGTGTGAAAAAACATTGATGTTAGCTGAGATTACGGATATATTCACTGTATTTATTTTTCATCATGCAATATCCACCAATTTAAATATTTATGATTGAATGATTAAAGAATAGGGAAAACACAAACATGTTGTATCTGTGGTAAAACATCAAATGTATGTGACAATCCTAAATTAAAAATTCTCATGAAATCTCCCGTTTAATAACTATTATTATTTATTACAATTAAATTAGAAATATTTAATTACTATAAGCCTTATTTCATGAAATCATCATTGATGCTTAGAAATTTTAGGAAAGCGATATACAGTTGTGATATACTAAATATTTTCCACACTTTGGTATATAATCTCTTAAAGGGGTGTAAGAGATCTAAAATTAGAAATATCTCATGCTTTTTTAAATAATTTTAGAAGATGGTTATAAGCACAAAAATTAAAATATACGGTGTTTCTTATTGCCAAAGTGAAAAATATTGCTAGCTTTTAACCAAGAATTATTTAATAAGATACTGTGTGGCTTTTTAAGGACTCTCACTTGAAATTCTATACCCTTGTTGGTACGAACTTAACCATTTGATCTAAATTCAGTATTTAAAGTTACATAATTTTTTTGTTCTATGCATGAATGTCTTCTTTTGGGAATATCAGATTTAAAAACAGATCTCCGACATGAGGTAAAAGGTGCACACCTAGGATATAGATAAAATTGACTAATGTGATTGTTTTCTGTGATTTATAATTCTACCTTGACAGTCTATCCATCAAAAAACCGTGCCCAAGTTTGACTATCTGTTCATACACCAAGATCACGTGATTACTTCTGGATTTAAAACCAATGCGTGTTCCTGAATAATAAAAATTAAAAATCTTATGATCAATATTTTGTATACAGGCTATGATTTAATGAAATATTTTTATTCCATGGCAGTGAACTTTCGAAGATTGTCAATTCTGACAAATTTAAATCTTCTACCTTTATGCTTTTAATTAATATAGATTACAACTGGACATTCTTTGGACTACATGTACAACATTTTTCCTCCCAAAAACCACACGAGACTTTTAACGCTGATATTAATCATAATTAAGCTGGAATAGTTGAAATATGAAGAATATTTTTTTAAACTAAAGCGACAGACTAAAAGGGTTGTTCATTATACTGCCTACAATTATAGATGATGGTGCTACATAGTGACACGGACGAGAGGGGATTTTTTTTTTTTGTCTGTGAATGATCTTTCCGGTAAATGCCCAGTTCACAGGCACATAGTACTGTTTTTTTTTTTCAGTTGGGGGTAGGAGGGCAGAGAAAAATTCATTTTACGTGTAGAATAAAAGGGAAAATTGTTTAAACTCGAAAATCCTTTTTTCGTGTGTGTGCATGGGTTTGGGAGATATGTTTCAACTTCTTCTTTTTTTTTTTTTTTACACATTAGTACAATGTATTTTTTTTGTATAAAAAGAAAAAAAATACATTTACCCAGTTCATGCAAGATTATAGTTTGCTTTGGTAAAAGAAATTCTTCATAATGATACTAATTGTTATAAACAAAATTAACTGCTTATTTATAATTAAAATGACATTTTACAATGCATTTATTTTTTTAACTCTTCCCCATTCTGTATTTCAAATTGGGTCCTCAAACATTATAATATTTTGACAATACAAAACTTTACATATATGTACTACAAACAAAGATTATCAAAACTTACTATTTACTTTATAATACAATAACTTTATCTAAAATTAAGTGCGTAAAAATATTCATTGCCGCTAAGACAATAACGTTAAAAAGTTAACACTCCTGAAATGTTCTGTTGAAATTTTGTTTCTTTTTTCCCACTCGATCTGAGATAACTGTGAAAAATACCGTGATAAAAAACTATGATAAATCCGGAAAATGCATCTAAAATAAACGTTAGTCCCCAGATGACCAGTTGGCAAACGGGGGATAATGGGAAACTAGTGTCGGTCTCTGTCGATTCCTCATGCAGCCCAAGAACAACTGTGGGCTTGAAAAGTAAAGACGAAACCCATGCATAATGAAATCTCATCAAACCCAAATTTAATTGTAATGTAGTCCATATTGTTGAATTGTTGATTTCACTCGTTAAGCTATATACTCTAGCTGGATTCTTCTGCTTTAGGGATACTTTAAAATCTGTAT